ATGGGGGTGATGTGTGCATGTTTCCAATCTACGACACAACATCATACACGTATTGTGGGCAGGGACACACAGACATCTACTTTTGATATCATCTGACTGATGTTTCTCTATCAAAAAGGTAGAACTTTCTGTGTTGAAGCTTGGACTTAATTTTTGTCCTTCAAAAAATTATGATCAATTCGAACTTGTTAAAGATCTACAACTTTTTGCTCGGAAATTAAATTTTAAATCCATATTTGAGAGTTCAGCTCTAGCACAACAAAAACCTGTACAATCTGAAAATCAATTTTACTAGAGCTGACCATCGAGCCCTTTAAGGCATTGACTCTGGAACAGGAGGAAGACGTCTGGGATAATCAAGACAATCTCCTTTGTGAGGAAGAAGATAATTCCTTAGATGAATCGGTTTGTCCTAGATTCCTACTGCCACAAAAATATAAGAATAAGTCAAATATATTTCCATCCTCTGTTATTTCCAGAGTGAAACTTTTTCTTGAACTAGTTACCAAAGATATTGAACAAATCCCAGTCCCAACACAGAGTTCTGATTTATCAAACATTCAAAGACGGACTCTTCAACAAACTCCAATGTATAGGGGTTGATTAATTTTTGCTATAAACTATGTTGGCAATCAAGTGCACCATACTGATGAATCAATCTGTATGTGTTTTTTTGGTTTCTATTTTGTTGATATTGTTAAATCCATCTATGTGCTTTTATATATATACAGTTGTGTTCAAAATAATAGCAGTGTGTTGAAAAAAGTGAATAAAGCTCAAAATCCTTCTAATAGCTTTTATTTCCATACACACAAATGCATTGGGAACATTACACATTCTATTCCAAATCAAAACATGAAGAAAATTATATCAAACTTGTGTCGTTCCTCTCAAAAAAATTGAAGAAAGTGAATATTAGACTGTTCAAAAAAATAGCAGTGTTTGTATTCTTCTTTACAAACTCAAACATTCACTATATAAACTGAAAAATGTTTGAAGATTTTGCTTTCTTTTGAATCACTTAATATTTAGTTGTATAAGCACTGTTTCTGAGAACTGCAGTACATCTGCGCTGCATGGAGTCAACCAACTTCTGGCACCTGTGAACAGGTATTCCAGCCCAGGATGATTGGACTACATTCCACAGTTCTTCTCTATTTCTTGGTTTTGCCTCAGAAACTGCATTTTTGATGTCACCCCACAAGTTTTCTATTGGATTAAGATCCGGGGATTGGGCTGGCCTCTCCATAACGTCAATCTTGTTGGTCTGGAACCAAGATGTTGCACGTTTACTGGTGTGTTTGGGGTCGTTGTCTTGCTGAAACACCCATTTCAAGGGCATTTCCTCTTCAGCATAAAGCAGCATGATCCCTTCAAGTATTCTGATGTATTCAAACTGATCCATGATCCCTGGTATGCGATAAATAGGCCCAACACCATAGTATGAGAAACATCCCCATATCATGATGCTTGTGCAACCATGCTTCACTGTCTTCACAGTGTACTGTGGCTTGAATTCAGTGTTTGGGGGTCGTCTGACAAACTGTCTCCGGCCACTAGACCCAAAAAGAACAATCTTACTTTCATCAGTCCACAAAATGTTGCGCCATTTCGCTTTAGGCCAGTCAATGTGCTCTTTGCAAATTGTAACCTCTTCAGCACATGTCTCTTTTTCAACAGTGGAACTTTGCGGGGGCTTCTTGCAGATAGCTTGGCTTCACATAGGCGTCTTCTAATTGTAACAGTACTCACAGGTAACTTTAGACCTTCTTTGATCTTCCTGGAGCTGATTGTTGGCGGAGTCCTTGCCATTTTGACTATTCTTCTATCCATTCGAATGGTAGTTTTTTTGCTTTCTTCCGCGTCTTTCAGGTTTTGTTTGCCATTTTAAAGCATTTGCGATCATTTTAGCTATGCAGCCTATCATTTTCTGCACTTCTTTTATATGTTTTCCCCTCTCCAACTTTTTAATCAAGGTACGCTGTTCTTCTGAAGAATGTCTGGAACGACCCATTTTCCTCAGAATTTGAGATAAATGCACTGTAACCAGCATGTACATTTGCTGCCTTCCTTCCTTAAATAAGGGCAATAAGTGCCACCTGTTTTTCAAAGAATGAATGACCTCACTAATAGAACTCCACACTGCTATTACTTTGAACATGCCCCTTTCAATTAGTGATTCAATTACACAGAATCAGCAGCATGCATGCCATGACTGTTGGTTCTGTTGGATTTCTATTACTCTACTACACCTGCTAGTAAATTATTTGCCATGTAGAAATATCATTTCTACCAAAAACAGTGATTGATCAGGTTAGTGATGTCTGACTGCTATTATTTTGAACACAACTGTATATATAATTTGTTTTGATAGCTGTGTTTTGATGTTCTGTCAGCTCATATCCTTTTTTCTATTTATTTCCCTTGGGTCAGAATTTCTCCCTCTTTTCTCCTTGATTGATACTGAGTGATATTTGAAGTGAAACCACTTGGTTGCATTGTTTTGGCATTTAATTGGAGGAATCTATATTGCAAGGTATTGTGACATAGGAGTGCAGGCCGTATGCATACAGTCCAATTATGTGGGGCCAGTATGTGCTTGTAGTATTCTGATGCTATATTTGGGGACACTTGTTTCCAGCTGCACGGTCTACAATGGACATCTGATCCACCTGAGGATGACTTAAGTTCTGGGATTACGTAACTTCTGGTCCGGCGCCATTTTGATCCACCCAGGACGCCAGTGGAGGAAAGGGAAGGGACCGCTGACATGCCCTGAACACAGCTACCGCTTGTTAGGCACCTCTCCATGGCATGATGGGAGCTGCTTGGAGAATCCTTGGAGCTATATAAGCTTCGCCTTTCTCTGCGAACATTCTCTTTGAGACCCTGAAGGATACAGCCATGTGTTGTACTGCAGAGGAATAAGCGAGATTAGATTGGGTTTTACTCTCCAGTAATGTGCTTATGAGGGCCATACTGGTGGAACAATGGATGGTGTTTGAGCCTGGACATTAAGATACTGATATACACTCACTGGCCACTTTATTAGGTACACCTGTTCAATTACTTGGTAACACAAATTGCTAATTAGCCAATCACATCTCAGCAACTCATTGCATTTAGACATGTAGACGTGGTAAAGACGACTTTCTGAAGTTTAGACGTGGTGAAGACGACTTTCTGAAGTTGAAACCTAGTATCAGAAGGGGGAAGAGTGAAGATTTAAGTGACTTTGAAAGTGGCATTGTTGTTTGTGCCAGACGGGCTGGTCTGAGTATATTTCAAACACTGCTGATATACTGGGATTTTCACACACAACCATCACTAGGGTTTACAAAGAAGGGTTCGAAAAAGAAAATATCCAGTGAGCAGCAGTTGTGTGGATGAGAATGCATTGCTGATATCAAAAGGAGAATGGACATATTGATTGCTGCAATATTTCGATGGTAAGGTCAGAATTTTGGCGTAAACATGAAAGCATGGCTCCATCCTGCCTTGTATCAGTTCAGACTGGTGGTGCTGGTGGTGTAATGGTGTGGAGGATATTTTCTTGGCACTAGCAAGGTGTACCTAATAAAGTGGCCAGTGAGTATATATTTTATTTTTTTTGTTTGGTTTATATTCAGACTCGTATAGTATGTTATATTAGGGCCAAACGCCCTTGGATTAGTGGCAGTTGGATACAGCTAAAAAAGAGGAAAACTACCACACTTTTTGAATTACAATCATCAGTTTTTGATAGGCGGGTTTGTTAAATGAGTCACTATGGGAACACCCACCTATATTGTCTTAACCACTTGCCTACTAGCAACTTTTACCCCCTTCCTGCCCAGGCCAATTTTCAGCTTACAGCGCTGTTGCACTTGAATGACAATTGCGCGGTCATGCAACACTGTACACAAACAACATTTGTATCATTTTTGTGAGACAGACAAAGCTTTCGTTTGGTGGTATTTAGTCACCACCGAGGTTTTTTTTTTGTTAAACTAAAAAAAAAAAAAAAGACTAAACAATTGTTACTTTGTTTTGGTTATAAAATTTTGCAAGTAATTTTTCTCCTTCACTGATGTGCGCTAATGAGGCTGCAGTGATGGGCACATTGACTGCACTGATAGGCATTACTGGTGGGCACTGATAGCTGGCACTAAGGCAGCTCTGATGTGGCATGGATGTGCACTGGTATGTGGCACCGATGGGGCTACACTGATAATCAGTGCCTTGATGATTAGTGTACATGTCACCCTCTGCTGCGAAAGATGTAGACTAATTAACAAGGACATAAAGCAAATACAGTGGTGGCTATATTTTAATGTATTTGGATAAAACCCTTTTTTATTGTGATCGTGATAAAATAGATTAAAAAATTAAAAAAAGTATTCATTTTTTGTGTGTTGGATGGCTACCAATAACATATCTAATGTCAAACATACTTACACACTCCTTTTGCCTAATAAATGTGCACACACTATATATTTGTGTTCAAAAGTATCCTGTTCTCTTTGAATTGCTTCCTTTGAACCAAACACCCGGTGATCCTGCTAGTCCCTCCTCTTTCTCATTGAAAAAGGACCACTCTAGGCACGAGAGCACATCAATCCTAGCGTGGTCAGTTTATGGCTGCGTTGGAAGTATAACCTGCCTGTCCTCCAATGGTGAAGACTTGTGCTGACAAGTCCACTTAAACAGCTCTCCCATGGCAATTATTGCAGTTTCTCTGAATCCTGCTGACACAATCCCTGCAGTCTCCACCCCTACCTCTTAAGCCCCTTACGCAGTTGAGAACAGAGGTCCTGTGATCACCCCTCAAGCTCCTGCTGCAGTCAGAGCCTCCAGTGAATACAGAAAGAGAAGAGCTGCTGATTGGCACAGCGTTGGATCAGAATTTTGGTAAGAGTTTAAGGGGAGAGACTGGGGGAAGCTGCTATTGAAAGTTTAATACAGAGAATGCATTAAGGTAAAAAAAAATACCTTTTGATTTTAGACCCACTTTAACTCACTTATATTCCAGTCAGATATCGTCTCATCATCATCAAGGTCATCGTCATCCTCCTCATCTTCCTCAATACCATCCTCCTCATGAGGCTGGGCCACCGTTCGCGATCTGTGAAACCGAGGTCGGATATCCTGCTCACTATCAGGCACAGCTTCATCCTCTTCTACATCACCCTGGAAAGTAAACATCAAACATGGCACAATCAAAATCTACAGTGTGTAGATCAGCAGGGATACCTGCTTAAAGCATATTGAAAGGTCCCTTACCTTAAGTAAGATGATGTCTATTTCTGAATATTTCATGCCATTCACCAAGATCGGTATCAGCCTATCAAGAAAATATAAAACATTACCTAAAAATATACAAAACATTTTAGGAAGTCACTTTCCTGGTGACTTCAAACAGTAAAAGCAAAAAGCCAATTAAATGTCAAGTTGTGTGTGCATCTCTCTAAACGGACATGTATCCTGCACATATGAAAAGGTTAGCACCAACAAAATTGCCATTTAAAAAAGATGTTGGCAGGCCAAACCACACTCTGGTTTCAAATATCAGCTGACTGCACAGATCATCCCCCACAAGCTAAGCCACTAGTAGGCATTGTCAGCTTATTTCCTGATTTAATTTTACATTAAATAGATCGAAAACAAGTGTTCACCCACCTGTACAACAGTGTGGCACCATGACCTGGGCAAGGTCACGTGTACCAACAGTAAGATTTGCCCAGTGGGGAAATGGGTAAGAAACCAGCTGGTGATTCACTCCAACATACAGCATTTTAGGAGGACTTGCCCTTCAAATGTACACCACTTATTTAAACAAATGCAGTCACTTACTTCGCAAGATGCCGGCAAAGTACTTCTTTGCAAATTGGCTGCTCAGCAAGTGTCAGCCAAAACTCACAAGCCTCCAACGCCACATTTTCATCATGGTCCTGTGTCCTCAGCAGCATGTACTGTTGTCACAAGGCAGAACAAGGGGAAAGGCCACATAAGAACAGTAAAAACAGTCTACAAACATAAATTATATAAACGTTTGTACGTTAAAACAGCACTAATTCATTAAGCAGAGCCTGAATTTGGTCACTGAATATAACCAGAGCAGGGTTATGTCCCTAAAGCCATCCTCTGAAAGCACACTCACTTCTATGGGATCCCCAGGGCTCTAACAGTTAAATGGCAGCACCTGTATGTATTATGACACCCAAAGTCACCATGACATGGTAAAAGGTATGTTAATAGATACTGGCAACCTCTAGGTGGCGTTGATAGGAATACCCGGCATGCGCACCCTCTGCACTCCTATCCCTGGCTGACTTTGGAGGAACAGAGCTTTTTTTTTCCTGTGTGGTAAATAGGGAGTTGTTTGGCATTGTTTTTAAATCTTCCCCACCTGCTTTCTGGTGTCAGAAGCTGCTTCTTCAGCTGCCTGGCAACCACTGAGATGTATGACCATGTTGGTGTCTTCTCCTGGTTTGCTAGTGACATCACAATGGTGTGGATGTTGTGCCAGAAGTGACACCACTGAACTGGAAGATGGTGGGGCACTGCTCAGAGACGGCATTCTCATGGCATGTTCCCCTTCCTACAAACTCACTGACACTTTTGGTGCCAGTTTGGAGCACTCATTGGCTTTTTTTTATCACGTGACAGTATTGAACACATGAAGAAAGGGAGGTGCAAAAAAGGCATAGAAATCGAAGAAACCAGCTGAAATCTGTCAGTAATTAGAAAACAATGCTGCCACTTGTCAGTGCAAATTATTATCAGCTGGTTCATTCTCATCTGATGGTCTATAAAAAGGTGTCTCATTACCAAGGCGTCATACAAGAAACATCTCATGATGGGTAAAAGCAAAGAGCTCTCTTAAGACCTTCGCAACCTTATCTCGAAAAATAGTGATGGCATTGGTTACAGAGGGATTTTTAAACTTCTGAATGTTCTAGTGAGCACTGTTGGGGCAATAATCCAGAAGTGGAGAGAACATAATTTTACCTACAACCGGCCATGACCAAGTGCTCCTCACAAGATTTCTGTTAGAGGAGTGAAGAGAATCAAAAGAGTTGTCCAAGAGCCCAGGACCACCAGAAAGACATGAAATTAGCAGGTACCACTGTTTCAAAACAATAATGGCCTATATGCACGCTCACCACACAAGACTCCATTGCCGAAGAAAAAGCAAGTTGAAGTTCATTTAAAGTTTGCTGCACAATTAGACAAGCCTGTGAAATACTGGGAGAATATAGTCTGGTCAGATGAGACCAAAATTTAACTCTTTGGATGTCATAATACACACCATGTTTGGGAGATCGAATGGCACTGCTCATCACCCCAAAAACACCACCATACCAACAGTGAAGTTTATTAGGTGGGAACATCATGATGCGGGGCTGTTTTTCAGTATACAGTACTGGCAAACTTTAGACACACACAAAAAAACCTTTAAAGCTTAACTTCACCCAGAAGTGGAAGTTCCGGTTGTTTACATCCTGCCCCCTCCACTGCCACATTCAGCACTTTTTTGGGGAGGATGCGCTACGGCGATCTGAGACAGAAGTTCACCCCCCCTCCTGGACACTTCACAGGTCCCAGAAGACTGCAGGACCATTCACAGAGTGAAGCATTTAGCAAATGTGTAGTATGAAACCGGCTGTGAAGCCGCAATGCTTTATTGTCGATTTCTCCAATTGAAGATGCCGGCGCTGGCACCCAAAGCCGATTGAAGAATCGGCTCGGGTGAGGATATCGCTGGATCCCTGGATAGGCAAGTGTCCTTATATTAAAAGGCAACAGCTACAGTATTTGTAACTGCTGATTTCATTTTTTTGGGGAGGGCCTAGAGCTCCACTTTAAGTTTAGCTTTATGCTGGGGGTGCACCTTTAAGCAGAAATCAGTATTGTCTGAAGATATGACAGACTTGCAAGTGAAGAGGGAGCCAAGCTTGGGTGGCCCCAACATAGAGGTACGGAGAGTGAGATTTATTTGCAGTCTTCTGCGGAGGAAGATGGGTGCTTTTTTCACCAGTCATGTTAAGAGCTTGTCTGAAAAGACACTTTACAGCTTCAAGGCCAAGTGGATCAAACTCTACAGTAGTCTAAGAATATGCACTAATAAGACACATGCAACAGGAAACAGGCTAACAGTCATAGCTTACATTTATTTATAAGTAATCTGTGTCACATGTTCTAGAAGCGAGCAATCTACCTCGGTAGTGGTGAGATCTCTTTGAAGGATTTTGACCAGTCAGATGTGGTTTGCCAAAGTAAGGTCAGGATGAAGGGTAGAGCTCATCAAGAAGAAAGTTCTAAAAACACTTCCCAACTGCTTATCATTTGGGTCTTTAAAGATAGGCATGTCCTCTCCCAAATAGCAAGAACTCTTAACATGGGAAATTGCCAGACCCATAGAATACACTACTTTTGCACAAAACCTTCATATGGGGGGGGAGAGCTAATAAGCATGTGGAGGGAGCAAATACTGGAAATTTTCCAATATCCACAGAGATAGCTGGAAAAGTGGGTGCAAAGGGAAAGTCTTTGTCCTTAGGAGTTTTAAATGACCGAGCCTGGAAAACAGCACTGTAAGACTCCAGGCACACTAGCTTAAAAAAAGCAAAACAAAAAAAAACCGCAAACGGTCATGGCAGAAAACCCCGCTAACTTCTAGTGTTTTTTTTGTACTAGCATTTTTTTCTGCCAGAAAACCACTTCTTTAAAAATGCAAAAAAGAAAAGGGATTTTTTTCTTCCTCTAAACGCAGAGCTTAAAAAAATGCCTGTACACCACCTCATGTGCATGGACATATAGGATAACAGTTGCTTCTACAGGAAAAGTAGCGAGTAGCATCTTTTTTAAGCCAGTTAACTGGTTGATCCTATAGTTTCAGAGTGATGCTCGCTGCAAATGAAGTTGAAATTGTCACCTTTAAATTGAGCATAATAGCACTAGACGGACTTGGTGGTAAGGCTTAATCAGACTGCCTATGTCCCTCAATGGATGAGAAAAATATGCTTTTCTTTAATGGAAAAGAAAACTAGATTAAAATATACCCCAAAACTGTCACACCCTCAATTATGCCATAACTGCATGGGTTAACTTATTTGTGTGAATAGCAAGAAACCAGTTGGTATGGAGGTTGCTAGGGGTTCCATAACAATGAGCAAATTCTGTTGGTCAGATGAGTTACTACTGACACCAACTACTTTTTCAGCTATCTGTAAAGGGGTATTCTTTCCACTGACCACCAGTGTAAAGGGACCTTTCCCAATCAACCACCAAAGTAAGGGGCACTGCACTGACCACCAATGTAAGGAGCACTACACCATTGGCCACCAGTGTAATTGACCACAGTGTAAGAGGATACTTATCCTTGGCCAACCAATGTGAAGTTAACACTACAAATTCCAAGGTCTGCATTTCTTTTCTGGCTATTTAATATTACTGTAAATTATTGCCATAGAGCAGTCCAAGTGTCAAATACCCTACAGTATGCCACAATCCTTATTCAATAATTTATTCCTATATCTGTAACCTGCTGTACACACCGATGTCTTGTGAGCCGTAGACAAATTATAAGCAGGGGTTCCCTTGAGACCTGAAAGTAAATTTAAGGTTCCTCAGTTTTTAAAAAGGTTGAGAAAGGCTAACATAACTACTCGCGCCAAAGAGCTATTATATAAATAGATGACAGAAAGCAGCAGAAAACAGTCACTTGTCAGGGTTGTGCGACACAGGGGCCATTCTAGGTCACCATGGGGAGCAATTCAAATGCAAGCTTTTCAGACTTGAAATCCTTTAGCACATGTAAAGAGAAGGTCTGCATCCACATGTCACCAACAGTGAGAAGGTTCATTAGGAGAACACATTAGGTGCAATAACCCATGGCATCTAAGCAGAACTAATTTTTCACTGCCAAACAGCTGCTAGTTAAAGTTGTTGCACAATGCATAGCTTTGTTGAATAAGCTTGAGTCCTGTAGTAATCTCAGTTCTGTGCATTAAAATGGCATTAAACTCAAAAACAAACATTTATTATTATTAGGCTTACCATTCATGAGATGTGATGGCTGCATTCCTTTTATTTTTTTGGCTTCTAATTTCATCTGTTCATCCATCCAGCAGAATGTATCAGTTACAGAGATGTGACAAACCATTACCAGCAGGTGTGCTTACAATGATCAGTTTTTTTTCTGTTTTTTTTTTTTTTAATAAGCACATTATGCTGAAAGAAAAACTACTGTTGGCTGTAACTGCTTTTTAAAGTGGAGCTCCGCCCAAAAAGAGAAGTTCCGCTTTGAGCCTTTGTCCCCCCCCCTCCCCATTAAGGATTGGCACCTTTGGGGAGGGGAGGGCGCGGCGGTTACCCGAATTTGACAGCTACCTGCTTCCACTGTGATCGCCTAGGCTATCGGAAGTTGTCCTCGCCCCCCTCCCTGCCCGTAGTGTTCTGGGACATGGACAGCTCCCAGACCATTCACAAAAGTGCAGCGCTTCTCGCGCATGCGCAGTGGGCACCTGGCTGTGAAGCTGCAAGCTGTCACAGCCAGGTACCCACACTGAAGATGCCAGCGCCAGGGAGAGAAGACGGGCGATGAAGACACCGCTGGACAAGTGTCTTTTTTTTTTTTTTAATCAGGTGGAACTCCACTTTAAGTACTTGCTGGAGTTTGGCTTCAATTTGTTAGTGCATTTAAATCTGTCAGTACATCTAATACTCCCCTTCCCCCAGACTGACAATGCTTCTGTCCAAAGGTGTCTCTTGCTCCTTCATCCAGAGCGGGGGCACTCTAATACAGGAGGTGTGTACTTGCCAGATCACCAGGGGAAAACAGAGGGGAAAGAGCCTAAGAAAAAAAAATTGATGCAGCCAAACACACCTAATGATGGGT